ATATTTTCAAAATTTTCTGCCATGAACATGTGTAACATTTGTAACCCAAATTTTCTAAAAATAATATTTTAAGTGTTAAATTCTTATAAATAAATAGTCATGTGGATCACATGCCTTTTCAAACATAAATAACTATGAATAAGAAAAACATATCGTCAAATTGAGTTGTGAGGGTTTGTTCAATTTTACATAGTCCAAGAAACCAGATTCTAAGGGGGGAAAGATTAGCTTCTTGTTTTACTCATTTTCTGCTTGACTCATTTTTGTGGGGACTCACTGGAATATTGATTTCTCACACCTGTGAGCTTGGCTAGTGAGCTACCACAAGCAAACACTGCACTTCTCGCCCTCTCTTTTTTTAAGATTTTATTTATTTATTTGAGAGAGAGGGAAGGAGAGACAGTGAGAGAGCACAAACAGGGAGGAGAGGGAGAAGCGGGCTCCCTGCAGAGCAGGGAAAGTTCTCTGAGTTCTCTTTTCCCTAACCTGGCATCAGTGCTATCCCATAGCAAGGCAGCTCCATCAGCCTGGATCCAGGAGGGAAGGGGGTGTGGAGCAGCACCATGGCTGACCTGAATGACACCCAAGGAAGAAGTAACCCTTTGTCCTTCTAAGCCACTGAGATCCGGGGGTATTCATCACCGCAGCATAACCTAGCCTATCCTGACCAGCACAAATACAGAGTCCTATGTCCTGCCGTCCATCTGAGACTTGTATAGGAACCATTCCTACATGTGAGCTCCACGCCACTGTGAGAGGGTAACAGGATACCAGAGTGGAGACATGGCATAGCCAAACACAGGACGAACTGAATCCACTCTCTCTGAGTTTTCTGTGGGCCCCAGAGTGATGCGGAACAGCACCGAAGTCAGTTCCTTGCAGAAAAGTACCTAAAGGGAAATATAGGCAGAAGATGCAGCAGGGACAAACGTCAGTATGATTAGGACGGGGGATCACTTCTCAAAAGGATGTAGTGAAGCAGGTTCTCATTATCCACCCGCTCCACCCCAACATCTGAACCCAGCGAAGTCCATTCAGAACTTAGAACCCACAACAGGGAAAGAAATGGGAGGGACTGAAGCCAAAGTATAAACTTCAAATGACCAAGGCCACTGAATTGGCCTGAGTTTACATGGAAGGTAACAGGATTCAATTCTCTGTCAATGATAGAAATAGGAGGTGCAAGATAGAATTTAGATTCACTTTTAGAAAAATAGTTATATGTTTTCCTGCAAAGTTTGCAGCCTGAGAAATGTGTATACACTACACCGGGATATTTTAAGAGGGCATCATGGAGGTTGCATATATTCAACAACGTGGGGTGCTGAGGGTCCACTCAGACAAGGCTGAAGCCATGGACAATGATAACCCCTTGTATTGTAGGCTAACTTCTCTCAAACCTGGTGCTCAAGCTATCGACTAGGTATTTGCCTTGCCTGAGGCAGGCACCAAGAACTTGCTATTAGCAACACTTTCAGCTGCACAAATATTTATTCTGGTAAACCTGATAAAGAAAAAAGAAGTAGTTGTAAATAAATTCTGTTAGAATTTTCTGCACTCTATGCACTAAACTTGTTTCCTTGTTTTGCAAAAGAAAGCTGTAATGTGACATTAACATTCTCATATCCGGGATTGATTTTTTCAATTGGATTTGATAAATACTGGCCAGATTAATATTTAATGTTCTTGAATAATTTGAATGATAACACATTTGACAAAGACATGAATGCACTATAAAAACAATTTGAGGGGCGCCTGGGTGGCACAGTCAGTTAAGCGTCTGCCTTCGGCTCAGGGCATGATCCTAGAGTCCCAGGATTGAGTTCCGCATCGGGCTCCCACTCAGTGGGGAGCCTGCTTCTCCCTTTCCCTCTGCCTGCTGCTCTGACTACTTGTGATTCCTCTCTTTCTCTATGTCAAATAAATAAATAAAATCTTTAAAAAATAAAAAATAAAAAAATGAAAACAACTTGAGCTGTTAACCTTTAGTCCATTTAAAATAGAGGATTCATTTAAAATGGAAGATCAAGGGCTAAGAAGTTTTGAGTCTTCTTTTTAATGTGATTAAGTTTGAAACTAGAAATATAATATAAAACACAATATAAAATAAAATATAGTATAAAATAAAATGGGATTTTGTAATTTTATGAAAGAAGCATTTTATAATAGTTGTATCAAGTAATTTTATACTTGGCTTTTCAATCATTACTAAATATTTTACTTACAAGCAAGAAGATGTCATGATAAATTATTTTGCTATAATAGAAGATATTTTAGGAGGCTCAAATCTTAATTTTTTTATTACTGGGGTATGATTTCCTTTCATTATATTGTATTGTGGTAGGACTGGATATAGTGGAGGCAAATAACTATGAGGGGGAATTATGACTATTAGTAAGGAGAATAATGACTCATGTATGTAGGAATAAACATCAATTAAAAAGTACTGAAAACCAAAAAGATAAAAATAAGACATGTTATAGAACTTTATCATAGAAGATTGTATTAATCAAAGTATCTATAACTTCTAAGACTTGCTGTCAAGTTCAAAAACTTTAGTATGTTCCACCATAGTTATTAGGTTACACAGTCTTGCCCAGTTTCACTCAGTCTCCACAGCTATAAGTGGAACAAAGTTACCTACCTCCAAATGTAGTGAGAATTAAAAAGAAATAGTATACTGGAGCAATTTTTAAGATGAGCTTATTATTAGAAAAAAAAAGTGTTATTTCATGATGATAAAGGAGTCATCACATAACAGACCTTCAAAATATATGAAATAAAAATTAATATAACTAAAAAGAATAGACAAATCCACATAGTTGGAGACTATACTGTACTGTTTCTTAGTATTTATAAAATATTTATAAAACATATAAAATATAAAAAATTAGGTTATAGATGATTTGAACAACACTATCAACCAACCTGACCTTGACTTTATAAATATGCATTTATAAAGCATTATTATGGGTTTATAAAGCCATTATTATTATTTATAAACCCATATTATGGGTATAATGCTATAAAATAGCACTGTAAAATATATATGTTTTTAAGTACACATGTAACAGTCAGAAGATAGGCCATATTCTAGTCATAAAACAAGTTTCAGTAAATCTAAGAGGACTGAAATTATTCTCTGGCCAAAAGGGTAATAAATTAGAAGCCAAAAACAAAAAAATGTCTAGAAAATCCCCAAATATCTGAAAACTAAGCAACATACCTAAAAATAAACCTATGAGTTAAAGAAGAAATACAAGAGAATTTAGAAAATATTTTGAATTGAATGATAATGAAAACACTACATATCAAAATTTAGGGGCTGCTGGCCAAAGCAGTACTTAAAGGGATGTTTATAACTTTTAATGCTTCTATTAGAAAGAAATGGAGTTTAAAAATTAACAACCTAAGAAGCTAGAAAAAGAAGAGCAAATTAAACCTAAAGTAGAGAAAGGAAATAATTTTTTAAAAATGGAAACAATGACATAGAAAACAAAAACAGAGAAAATCAAAGAAACTAAAAACTGAGCAGTTGAAAAGATTAATGTAACTGATAAGCCTACACTAGATTGGTCTAGGTAAGGAAGAAGAAAGCCACAAATTAACAATATCAAGAATGAGAGAGGGACATCGCTATCAAGTGTACACATAACAAAAAGATAATAAAATAACATGAGAACTTTATGCTGACAAATTTGACAACTTATGATAAAAAGGACAAATCCCTTAGGAAACATGACTTACCAAACTGACAAAAAAGGTCATAGAAAATTGGTAGCCTTATGCCTAGCAAAGAATTTGAATATGTAATTAAAAACCTTCTCACAAACAAAACTGCAGGTTAAGATAGTTTCAATGGTCAATTCTATCAAATATTTAAGAAGAAAAGAGTGTTGATTTTATAGAAACTTCCTGAGAAAATAGAGGAGGAAGGAAAACTTCCTTACTTATTTTGTAAAGCCTGAATAGATTTAACAGCAAAAACTGACAAGAAGACTACAAGAAAAGTGAAGGACCAAGGCCATTTATGAATATATAAAAGAAATCCTCAAAAATAATTAGCAAATCAAATCTAGCAGCATATCCAGATAATACAGTATGACCAAGTAAAATTTATCTCATGAATATAAGGTTGATTCAGCATTTGAAAAATCAAAGTAATTCCCCATATTAACAGAATAGGAAGAAAAAACATGATCATTTCAGTTAATGCAAAAAATGCACTTGACAAAATTTAACACCCATTTATGATAAAAAAAATACTCTTAGCAAACTAGAAATAAAACAGAATTTTCCCACTCTAATAAAGGGCATCTACGAAAAACCTACTGCTGACATCATACTTAATGGCAATGAACACTTTGACCCTTAGATTGGGAACAAAGCAAGAATGTTCATTTTTACCACTTCTATTCAAAATACTGCAGGAAATTCTAGCTGTGCAAAAAGGCAATTAAACAAAATAAAAGGCCATCCAGATTGGAAATATATGGAGTGGTATACCATGTTGATGGGTTAAGATTTTAATTTTCCCCAATTCAATCTCTATAATCAAAGTTATCTCAATTAAAATCCTACTAGGCTTTTTTGATAGACATTGAAAAGCTTATTCTTAATTTATATGAGAAAGCAAAGGACCTAAAATGGCCAAAACAATTTTTAAAAAGATCGAAGTTGGAGGACTTATACTATCTGATTTCAAGAGTATAAAATTACAGTAATCAAGATAGCATGGTGGTGATGCAGGGTTAGATAAGTAGGTCAGTGGGACAGAATAGAGTTCAGAAGCAGGTCACCACACACATGGTGAATTGATTTTCAACAAGGTAAATCAGTGGAGAAAGCATAGTCTTTCAACAAATGGCCCCAGAACAGCTAGATATCTATGTGGAAAGAAAATGAACCTCAACCTCAATCTAATGTCAAAAATTATTTCAAAATGAATCATAGACCTATCCAAAAAAGCTAAAATTATAAAGCTTCTAGAAGAAACTATAGGAGACTATACTGATATAGGTAAACATTTATTAGCCAGGAAACAAAGAGCACTGACAGAAAAGAAAAAAAATAACAAATTGGACTTCAAAATTAAACTTCTTTTCAAAAGACATCATTAAGAAAATGAAAATATAATCCATAGACTGGGAAAAAATATTTGTCCCACAAGAATTTGACAAAGGAATTGCATCTGAAATACACAAAGATCTCCTACAAATAAATAATAAAAAAAATACAATTTGAAAATGGGCACATTATTAGAACAGATACTCCACAAAAGAATATAAATGAAATGGCTAATAAGCACACGAAAAGGTAATCAAAAGTCAACAGCAAAACACAAATTAAAACTGTCAGGAGACACCACTGCACACACACAATGACTAATGTAAAAAGATTAAAAATACCAAATATTGGCAAAAAGTGAGCCAATTGGGAGTCTTGTATATTGCCAATAGGAGTATAAAATGGTATGACCATTTTGAAAACCTATTTGACTGTTTCTTATATGTTTAAACATACACCTGCTCTATGACTCAGCAATTCCAATTGTAATTATTTACTCAAGAGAAGTAAGAACATATGCCCACAAAAAGACTTGTATAGTAGTACTCAAAGCAGTTTTATTTGTAATAGCTAAAAACTGGAAATAACACAAATGTCTATCAACAGTTAAATGAATACCTTTTTGTATAACTACACAATGGAATACTACTTGACAATAAAAATAATAATGAACTATTGACATACCAACAACTGAGAAGAATATCAAAAGCATTAGGTTGCATGAAAGATTCCAGACATGCTATATGATTCTAATTATACAAAGTTCTAAAACAAACAAAACCAAGGTATGGTGATAGAAATCAGAGTCAGAGGATTCACTGGA